TGATGTTAAGAATGCCTATTACAATCCCTGGAATGAACATTAAAAAAATAAAACAGTGAAGGAGAGCTCAGATACCAATAGCGGATACCAATAGCCCATGAAATCTAAGCGGAGTAGAAATGAATTATAACAATATTGTGTTTACGGAAAAGAGGGCTGGAATGGAGGTCAGAACAGCAGCAGAGGGCCACGGGGTGGGGTTCCGGGAGGCCCCCATGGAGGAGGGTTTTGTTCTTTGCTGAACTCTGAGCCTGCACCCAGCCAGTGGGGCCAGGGTGTGGCCAGGGGCCTTGCCATCACCGTCCAGCCAGAGGGGCCAGCAGGAGCATTGTGGGGACCTGAGTGGAGGATCAGCCTAGGACAGGACTTAGGGACTGGCGGGGTCCAGGTGCCCCAGACTCAGCAAGCACCCAAGAAGCCAGCCTCAGTAGCTGGAGCACACACAGTCTTTGAGGCCCCACAGAGAAAGAGAAGGCGAGTCAGGCCCTTGCGTTTGCCCCTTTCCTGTGGCTGAGGGAAGGGACAGGTGGAGGTGAGGATGGGCTGGACCCTGGCCATGGCCCCTACAGATCCAGGTGGATCAGAGTCTCCGCCCCCCACAGACCCTCAAGTTCCATGACCCAAGGGCAGTGCCGAGCCATGAAGACTCCGTGCTAGGGCAGGAGAGAACAGCCCAGAAGCGTCCCAGGGGACTCTGGCGTAGGCTGTGCCCCCCGGAGGCTGCAGGGACAGCACTGACGCGGTCCCTGTCGGCGGTGGTCTCAAAGCCTTTTCCGTCAACCCCAAACCAGGCAGAAAACGGGATTAAGAAAACACTGATGCGTCTTCCTCCCAGCCCTCGGCTCCCTGCCCGCGCTCACCTGTCCTGTCTGCTCTGCAGGTACGTCAAGACCTACCTGCTGCCTGACCGGTCCTCCCAGGGCAAGCGCAAGACCAGAGTCCAGAAGAGCACAGTGGACCCGGCCTTCCAGGAGACCCTGAAGGTACTCGGTAGACAGGCGCGGGCGCCGCGTCTCGGGCCGCCGTCCAGCACAGGTCCTGCGGACTCTCGAGCCCATGAAATCTAAGCGCAGACACCCAGACCTCTCTGCAGCCCTGGCGAGGAAGATACATTCAGCCCTTGTGCAGGAAGAGGGCAGTGTCTGCTGGGCTGGACCGGCCTCTGCGGAGGGATTTCTGAGACATGATGGTGGGGGCCGGCTGCCTGGCTCGCGAGGGCCGGTCTGTCCCGATGAGCGTGCGGGAGGGGACGCGCCAGGACGGGCGTCACGGCCTCTGACTACAGCGTGGTGCCAGCGTGCCCATATCATGCAGCTGGCCAGCCCGGGTGTCCCGTCACGTGAGGGGAAAGTAGGCATTGTGGAAAAACATGGATAGAGGACTTGTTCGGGCTTTGACGGTTCATGTCAGGTGGAGCCCGTGTGCAGAGGTCTGGGGTGGGCAGTCCAGTGGACCTTGGTGGGCTGGGGAAACAGGCCAAGCCCACCCAGCCCATGTAGCAGACAGGGGCGGTGGTGCCAGAGCTGGCCCTGAAGCGCGGCCCCGGGGAGGAGAAGAGGAGTGAGGTGCTGTCCTGTGTGGGACACCGAGTGCCAGCAGGCCTTGGACGGGCTCCCCGCGGGCGGGCCCTGACCGGATGGTGGAGGAGGGCGCAGGTCTGCACTCCTGCTGTACCTCTAGCTCCTCTGCATGGGGAAGGCGGCAGCAGGTGGCTGGCGGGAGGCCGCGCAATGCACCCCAGGGAGTCGGGGTTCAGCCCAGAGAAGCTGGGGTGGGAGGGGCATGGGATGCAGGGATAGCGGCAAGAACTGGGGGTCCCCAGGCCCATGTGGATCCTGGCTGCCCTGGACTGGCTTTGAGACCCCAGGGAGCCTTTCTGAGCGGAGGTGTGGGCAGTACTGACCTCCTGGCAGGTGTGGGAGAGGGAAAAACCCAATGTGCCGCGGGCGTTAACCTGTAACTTCTGCTCACTGTGGAGAAAATCAGCTACGGCTCTCAGCGTGGAGGTGGGGTCCTGGCTTGTCACAGGAAGGGGGCTCTGGGCTGGGAGAGGGGGCTCTTTTTTTTTTTTTAAGATTTATTTGTGCATACAGAACTGGGGTACAGGCCAGAGGTGCAGGGTGGTGAGAAGATTCAGCAGAGCGGGGAGCAGAACAGGATGACTGATGAAGTGCACTGCTGAGGGGAGCAGTGGGCGGGTCAGGAGAGGTCTGCTGTGCCTTGTGGTCACCTCCCTGGCGGGAAGTGGCTTCACAGTGCTGCGCTCTAACCCACTGTGCCACCAGGGAGGGCCCGGACTTTTTTTTTTTAATATATATAATAGTTTCTTTTTACATCATTTTATGCATTTTTCCATCTCAGTTGCAATCCCCTTGGGTTTCCCATCACCAAATCACCCGTGTGCCATCACAATAGTCCAGTGCACTTTCTCTTCCCCTACTGTTTTTGATCCCATTCCCCGCTTCACCCCTGAGGGGGCTTTTTTACATGCCTGTGTGTGTGGGTAGCGTCCAGGGGGCAGCAGAGGGGCAGCTGTGAGGGGCACTGAGTGCCCACCACCTGCATGTCCATCGAGGCAAATGCCCTCCCTGGACACTGGACACGTGCTTTTTTTTTTTTTTTTTTTTAAGCTTCCTACCCTTTGTCAGCCCCAGAGAGAGCAGTGGGCCAGATGCAAGTCCAGTCCCTAATGAGGACAGAGAGCAGCTGGACTTCTAGGGAGACCTGGGAGCGCAGCATTTCCCCCTGGGATTTGTTTGCTCTTGACCGAGCAAGGGGCTCTTGACCGAGCATGGCCAGCTGTCCCGGGCAGGCAGGGCAGGCCCAGGCACTGGGGGTCTGGGAGACATTCAGGGCTTGAAGCGGGGACCCCTGGTTCCAAGCAGCCTGGCTGCAGTCGGGTGTGGCTGGGACCCAGGCTGACCGCTCCCCCGCCCCCACAGTATCAGGTGGAGCTCGCCCAGCTGGCGACCCGGCGGCTGCAGGTCTCAGTGTGGCACCTGGGCACGCTCGCCCGGAAGGCGTTTCTTGGAGAAGTGACCGTTCCTCTGGCCGCGTGGGACTTCGAAGACAGCCAGACGAGGTCTTTCTGCTGGTATCCTCTCCGGGCCAAGGTGACGTCCGGTTTCAGACTGAGTGACCCCCAGCCCCGCCGTGAGTGCTGACCTCACTCTTCAAAGGGTTCGAGGAGGAGGAAGCTGCCGGGAGCCCTGGGCGCCTGAGGTTTTAGCTGCCCGCTGGACGTTTACCGGGAGCTGGCCTCCGAGGCTCCGTGGCCCTCCTGGCGGGATGGGCTGAGGGCCGCTCCCTTCTCAGCCTCGCTCCATAGAGCTGGCCTCAGTGTGCCTGGAACCCATTCAGGATCAGGTCCAGCGGGTCTCCCTGGGCTGCCCCTAGGGTCCTCCCATTCCGCAACTCAAGGTCTCGGCCTGCCCCACCTCAGACCGATGTGTGTGAGGGTTGGACCCCTTGCCAGCCCCGCCCGGGCCCTCCCAATGAGAGGGAGGATGACGTGACACCACGGGAAGACAGCTGTGGCCTTTCGGGACTCCCTGTCCCTCTTGCTGGCCCGGCCATCCCAGGGTGCGGGGATGAGGAGCCGGCTGGCTCAGGGCCAGGCGGCGCGGCAGGAGCCTGGGGCAGGTTAACGCGCCTTGGGGAGAGGTCCGAGCAGGAGACGCCGGGCGCCAAGCTCTCCTTGCTGTCGCGACGACAAGAAGGACCAGCCCGGCGCGAGCCCAGCGCCATGGGGCCACGTCCAGTGTGTGCCTCTGGCCAGCTGGGGGCCGTCGCTGCTAGGAGACGTGTCTGGCTTTGAGCCGCTCCGGGGCAAGCCGGGGGCCGTCGGCTGGAGCGGGTCGCCCTCCCCCGCCGTCCCCCCCACCGTCGCACCCCCGTACGGGCAGCTTGTCCTGAGCTGCAGTCTGGCTGGGCCCCCCCACAACAGTCACTTGGAATGCTTGTTCCTGCCCGTCTGCCGGGGCTCTGCCTGAACCCCGCCTCCCGTGAAGGCCTCCCCGTAGCCCCTGCAGACATGTTCTGCCTCGGGGTCCGGTACCGGGACGCTCTGTGTGTCCCCCAGAGCCGCCTGTCGGGAACAAGACGGCCCGCCCCCACGGCGGCTCCCCCTTTGGGGTAAGAAGCAGTGAGCGCAGCTTATGGAGGTGGCCGCTGGCACCGCCCTGCGCCTGCCCTCGCCCTCGCAGGAGGGGGCCTGGGGTGGTGAGGGTGTCTCGGAGCTAAGGCGGAGGCAGCCTTATCTCATCTGCACCCAGGGCCAGCCTTCTGCCCAGGTCGGCCAAGAGACCTAGGAGGGAGGTCAGTGCTGAGGCCTTGAACCCTGGAGGCCGCCGGGGAGCTGCTCCTTACTGCCCCCGGGCCGGAGTCCAGATGCTTCCTGATGGCCCCTTCTCCCTTTGGCGAAGTTAATTACAGGCCACCGGTGCCCGAGTCCAGCTTTGTCCCCTGCGACCTGAGGCGCCCAGGTGTCCCTGTGGCGTGAGGAGCCCCCAGGCCGGGTGAGGTGCAGACTCACCTAGCAGCAGGGCCACCCCACGTGGTGGGCACCCAGCCTGGGCCCTTTCCTCTTGGGTGCCCGAGGCTGTCGCTGGCCCAGAAAGATGCCCCAGGCTTGGAAAGGACAGAGGGTTTGGTTTCACTTACTCTCTCCAAACTCGTTGTGACATGTCCAGGTTTCCTCGAAACCACCCTGTGCGGAGGTCTAGGGCCTCGGGCCTCTGCTTCCTTGGCTCACTGCCCCTGCTGGCTGGGGGTGGCGTGAGAGGGGGGGCCTAGGGAGGCTGGAGCCTGAGCTCTTCTCCCCCTCAGGTGGACAGAAAGGGGGGGAGGCCTGTGAGCCAGGGCCAGGCCTGCAGAGGCCAGGGGTGGGGTGGGGGTGGGGTAGTCGCTGAGTTCAGCCTCCTGTCCCCAGGCAGAAAAAGGCGAGGACAGTGTTTTCCCCACCAGTAACGGAGAACTTGCGGTCAGGGCCAAACTGGTCATCCCAGAAGGGCCCAGGAAGCCCCAGGAGGCCCAAGAAGGTAGGTGGCTTCCAGCCCCAGGTGCCTCACTGTGTCACTGTCCCAGAGCCTGGGGCGGCAGGTGGGCTGGGAGGTGGGGCGAGTGTTTCCTGGTGCGCCCCTCTGCTGCCCACCGGGACCTGGCACCCTGACTCCAGAGAGCTGTGAGGCAGCCTGGAGACAGCACCCCCACAGGCCAGGCCTTTGCTGCCCACTTTGCGGGGCTCTTAGACCCTAGGCCTAGCCCAGAGGCCTTCCTCCCGAGGGGCCAGCTCCATGATCTTCTGGAGGAAACAGCCCCCTTTAGCCCTCTTGAAGAGTGACCCCTGCCTGGCTGCCAGCAGGAAGCAGGAGCCCGCATCCAGACCCCCTGGGGTCTGCAGGGTCCAGTGGCTGGCTCCTGCTCCTGGCCCGAGGGCAGGTCCCTGCAGCCCTCAGGGAAGTGAACCACTCTAACCCAAGGGAAGGGAGCATGGAGGCCGCACACTTCTGCTGCAGAGCCTAGGAAGCTCCTGTTCGCTGCCTGAGCTCACAGTCAATGGTACAGGTGCCCCGATAGGATGTGGCCACCCCAACCCGGGCAGAGGCCCGGGGCCCCCTTCCTCAAAGCCACTGCTCCAGTCGGGCTCTGGCTTCTGCCTCCTTCCTCTCCTGCGCTCCCTGTTGCAGCCTCCATTCTCCTGGGACCCCAGTGGCCTTCACTCGGTCATTGTGCGGACGGGCCGGGGACAGTGAGGGCGCAGGGCCAGCAAAGCGCGTCACACTGGGCCTGTGCTTCACTCTGCTGCCCTCTGGGCTCCTGTCCCTATTTGTCAGGGTTTTTATTGGGGAGTTGGGGGGGGGGGCGACATGGCATTGCCTGCTGTTTGGAAGCAGTTTCAACAGCAGAGTTTTCTCTGCAGGGACAGGCCAGCCATCAAACAATGGCCAGCTCTGCTTGGTAGTGCTGGGAGCCAGGAATTTACCTGTGCGGTCAGATGGGACCTTGAACTCATTTGTTAAGGGGTAGGTATCAGACTAACTAGGTGTCAAGACTTATTTATGCATGTAAGAACTGGGGTGCAAGCCAGAGGTGCAGGGGGCGAGAGGACTCCCCAGAGACAGAGTGGGGAGCAGGACAGGCAGATCTATGAAGTACACTGCTGAGGGGAGCAGCGGGGAGACAGGAGGGGTCTGCTGCGCCCTGGGGGTCCCTCCCTGTGTAGGGGATGGAACTCGGGCTGGGGACAGCTTCGTATAGTTCTGCCCTTTAATCCCTCGCCACCAGGGAGACCCTCAGATATTTCTTCTTTAATGATTTAGTCCTTAGCAGGATCATCCCACGGTAAGCACCCCAGGGGCTGGCGGGGCCCTGGGGCGCTTACCAGTGCTGCAGGGTCTGTTTGGCTTCTCTCGTACAGCTGCCTCACCCTGCCCAACCAGCACAAGCTGAGGCTGAAGTCCCCGGTGCTGAAGAGGCAGGGCAGCCCCCAGTGGAAACACTCCTTCGTGTTCAGCGGCGTGAGCACCGCCCAGTTGCGGCAGGCCAGCCTGGAGCTGACCGTCTGGGACCAGGCCATGTTCGGGCTGGGCGACCGCCTGCTGGGAGGGGCCAGGCTGGGCACCAGTAAGTCTGCCAGGGGCTGGCGTATCCTTGGGGCTGTCTTGGGGGTGCTGTGGAGGGAAGGTGATCCCAGGCTGGCGGGTGACCTGAGGATCCTCACCTGCCCCGGTGACTATCCATAAGTCGCCAGAGCCCGCCGCCGGTGGAGCGCTAATGCAGCCAAGCATCCCAGCCATTTAAATCAGATTTAGATCGGCGGCAGAAACAAGAGTTACAGGCTTCAAAACAACGGGGCACGGTATTTGCTTTTGTTTCTGGCTTCAATCACAGGATTATTTTCTGAAAGGAAAATACCTTCTTAACCCAAACACCAAGTCTGAAAGCATTTCATGGAGAGGGGGGTTGAGGGGGATGTTTTTAGGGTTGCTGGTATTTTGGGGGGGGCTGTGGCCCTGCCTGCTGCTCATCAGCTGTGTCCCCCAACACTGTGACAACCCAAAACCCCATGCCTCTCAGCCTCCCACGCCTGCAGGTCACAGGACCTGGGCATTTCACGGGTTTTTAAAGGTGCCTCCCCTAAGGAGCCCCTCTTGTGAATAAGCTGGTACCCAGGTGAAGGCTCCCCACTGGCCCAAGACCACTGTGTGGTCTTGACTCCCCTTCTGGAAGGCCCAACCCCAACCCCCCAGAGCGGCCTCTCCTGGATTTCAAACTGGGGATAACACGGCTAAGCTGCCCAGGCCCGCCCCAAGCAGGGTCTGGGGGAGGGGAGAGACACCCCATCTCTCTCACTAACCTGTTGTTTCACCCACCAGAGGAGGACCCAGCGGTCAGCACCAACTCCTGCCCCCAGGCAAAGCTTCAGTGGCAGAAAGTTCTTTCCAGCCCGAATTTATGGACAGACATGACACTCGTCTTGCACTGAGGCAGCACCGGTGTGGGCGCGCGGCGCTGCTTGGAGACCGGCAGCTGGGAGCCGTGTGCCCTGCACCCCAGCTCGCTGTGCGGCTGGCACCCCTCCCTCCAGCTCTCCCACTATGGCTCACGCCTGCCTGAGCCTGTGGCAGCCCCGATCCCACTGCTGAGCGGGCAGACTGGGCTCGGACGTGCGCCCTCACGTGTCTCCGATGCTTTGCTCAGAACACAGGCATGTCCTTAGGTGATGTGTGACTTCTAAGTTCAACAGAGCAGCTGTTGGGTTCCAGAAGTAGGACTCAGCTTGGTTGTGTGGATGTGGGAAATGGCTGGACTTCAATAAATGTTCAAGTTACCTGTCTCACTGGGCTGGTCACTTAGTGGACACTAGGGCCTTAGTTTGCAATTTTCAAAGAGAAGGAAACGTGTGTATCCACCCCTTTCCTCTCCTGCAGAAAACCCTTCCTGGGCTAAGTGGGTCGGTCTCTGGGGCGCTGGGAATCAGGGGAGATGCCCCTTTTGAAGTGAGCTCTAACACCCCTGAAAGTGTAGAGGCCAGGACCGAGTGGTGGGGTCAGTAGAGAGGGGCCCTCCCACCTCCAGGGGCAGCAGACACCCTTGCATTTTGCCTCGGAGGGCTTTATTCCAGACCTGTAGGGCAGCTTAACCCAAGAGAAGAAGACACAGGTGAGCCAAGCCAGGTGTGGGCTGCTAGCTAATGGCCACCTGACAGGTGTGGGAGATGCAAGGTCAGCTGACTCTCTGCGCTTCTCTGGGAGGCCAGGTGGGCCTTTTTAAACTAATCGCAAGCCCACACTCCATTTACTTATGAATACCAGACTCCCCCCCCCCCCCCCCAGCTGATGGGGAATTAGGCATTAGGCAAGCAACCTCTGGCTGGAAGGCAAAGAACCAAACAAACAGCCTGAGTTAGCAGCGTGTTTTCAGAAAGCTGAGCGCAAAGCTCTGTGTGTTCACAGCCAGGAACAGGTGTGCAAAGGGCCCCCACGAACCCCTAGGTCCCGCTGACCCGGCTCATCGGCCTGCCACTGCCCGCTGGGCTCACATCAGGTGCGGCGGTTACATGGTTTCAACGTGTAATTCTTTTATTATTCTGTAAAAGGTAACAAAATATACAGAACAAAACTTTCCCTTTTTTAAACTAATGTTACAACCCATATTGTCACGTACATATAAATACTAGGCTCTGTAGCTGATCAGGAATCAGGCGTGTACGCTGGCTGGAAAGCAAAGAACCAAACAGACAAGCAGAGTCGTCCCAGAGTGGGGTGACCCCCTATTCTTCACCAGAGCGAGCCCATGTCGGCGCCACAGGAAGGAATCACCAGGCACACGCCAGGGAGGGTCAGCGCAGTCTCTGAAATAATTTCTCCCTCCAAAACATAAATACACAAGGATGGATCCTTCATCGAAATCAAGAACTAATCAATCAGTGGGGCTAATTTCCAATACGAAGAAAGTATGGCACGGCAGAAAGCCACGCTGTGGTTTCCGAATCACACGCATCTCCATGGCGCCGGTACGGGGGAGTTTGATTGAGACGCTCCCGGCGCCCTCCTTAATTCGGTCAGTCCTGCTCCAAGCAGAAAGCAGGGAGTGATTCAATAACAACAAAAAATCAGGCCTATTTGGCACTAAGATACAGCCGGGAAGACAAGGGCGCCCCAAGGGCCCCGGCCCCAAATCC